GAGCATCAAGACGATCCCACCGGCTCATGGGGTTCATCCTGATGGACACCACCCTCTTCATGGAGTGAGGGGTTCCCTGCCCTCCTCCACTTCCCATCCTCACTGTGTGATTCCCTCCTTTCTCAAAATTCCTGACCCTTCTCCATGTCCAGCCGCAGATACTGGTAGAGCATCAAGACGATCCCACCAGCTCATGGGGTTCATCCTGATGGGACACTGCCCTCTCCATGGGGTGAGGGGTTCCCTGCCCTGCTCCACTTCCCATCCTCACTGTATGATTCCCTTCTTTCCTAAAATTCCTGACCCTTCTCCACGTCCAGCCACAGATGCTGGTGGAGCATCAAGACGATCCCACCAGCTCATGGGGTTCATCCTGATGGGACACCGCCCTCTCCGTGGGATGATATCCCAGTGAGGGGTCCCCAAGCCACCAGCCCCGCGGTCAGGATACTGTTGGAATATCCCGGGAAGCCGAGGCAGGCCCCGCTGGAAGGGTTAACGGGGCGCACGAGCTCCATAAGCGGAGGGTGACGTGATCCCAAGGCCATCCCCGAGGCCACCAACCTGGTTATGTCACTTGACCCCCTGTGAGTAAACTTAGCTGACGGCTCTGGCCGTGTCCAGGAGGGTTGGGGACATGCCACGGGCACTTCCTAAAAATACCCACGGAGCAGCGACGGCCCCGTTGGATCCCATCCCGTTCCTAATCCCTCCGTGGCTCCCGGCCCGTGGCGGGTGGCAGCTGCTGGGGGGGGCCAAGATGGGAGTAGCTCCGGGCAGGAACGCGGTGCCAGGGGTAGGGAGGTGGCACCCCGTCTTTTCCCAGGGCAGGATCCCGAAATCCTGACTGAGGACGTGACTGAGGATGGATTTAGGGCAGCACGATGAAGCAAAAAGGGTTAAAATCACTGAGTGAAAAGGGGATTTTTTGTTGCAAAATCATCAAGACGCCCTTTTTGTCCCTTATTTTGTCCCTTGTTTTGAGTTGAAGGGGGGAGGGGCATTATCCCATGCCCACGTTTGGAGTTTCCAACGTGGGATATCTGTGTGCCTGGTTATCCAATATGGGATAACATCCAGCACCACCAGGATCTTGTCTGGGGCTTTGCCTGGGACTGTGACCCTTCCCAGGGGGGACAAATCCCCTCCACCCACCCCAACAAAATTAGGAGGAGAAAGATGGACCCTCCAGGGTCTGGAATGACGTGGGATTTTAATTGTTGGAATGTAGCGGGATAAGGGTTTTCATCTGAAAAAACCCCCTCCTTTTTTGCATTAGTTTGGCCCAAATAATCCCTCCTTTTGAAGGGTCAGTGGAGGGCAGTGTCCCTTGTCCCCAAGTCCCCAAGCAGGGATGGCCGGGGACCTTCACCTCTCCCATCCCAAGGGACTGCCTGTGGAATGCAGAGGGGTGGGATATAGTGGGATTTGGGATTCAATCCTGGACCCCGAGGTGGGTGAATGGGTGGGTGTCGATGCCTCTGTGGGATGAAGCCGCTCATCCCTTGGGATGGGGTGGGACAACTCCCGTGCCTCAGTTTCCTTGCAAATCCCTCCCGTCCTGCGGTGGCCACGTGGTGACAGGAGGAACAGCGAGGCCACATCCCCTCCAGAGACTCATCCAGACCCCCCAAAACCTCCCGACCAGCTTCCCCTCGGCGCCGGGGACACCTTTTCCAGGTGCTAGGATGGTGATCCCGCTCCTTGAGCTGGTGACACTCCCGGCCACGCGCCACGTGCGGGTGTCACCTGCGGTGACACAAAGCCGGAGCCGAGCACGGGGAGCCGGCTCTGGTGCTCGTGGCCGCTCCCTGCCCACCACCACCTTCTGGGAACATCCCTAAAAATCCCAGAAATACCTATATTCGGTGCAGGGGAAGGACGTTGCGCCGCTCCCGAGGTGGGGAAGGGGCCGCGTCCAGCGGGGTGGAATCAAACCCAATTCGGGCTCCATAACCCGCCTTTTTGGGTCTTTCCAATTTTCGGGGAGGGGAGAAAAACACGATTTCTTTGCTCTTTTTCCCCTCTCCGAGCTGTCGCTGGGAGGTGACGGCGCACGGGGGGTGCCCTGGGGGGGTCCAGGGGATGCGCCCCCAAAAACCCTCTTGGACTGACAGCTGCCCCGGGGGCGTTGCCATGGGGATATGCAAATCCCGGCGTGCTGATAAGGCGGGATGGATTATCCCCTCCCCTGTAGGAGTGTCCGCGCCTCCTCCTTTTCCCGTATAAAAGGCGGCGGGTTCCATTGAGCGCCCGGCGGCGGCGGCGCCGGTCGCGGGCAGGGGCGGGCAGGGAGCGGCCCCCGCCCCGCAGCGCGCCGGGTCCCGGCGGGACGAGGACGAGGACGAGGAGGAGGCAGGAGAAGGCTCAGGCTCGCAGCCCGGGGAGGTGGGGCCGGGGCAGGTGCCAGGGGGAGGCAGGAAGGGGCGGGCAGGGCGCTGCCCGCTCCTCGCCATTGGGAAGCGGCCGCAGGCAGCGCCGGAGCCCGCCCGGCCCCGAGCGCCGAGCGGCGGCCGGAGGAGGCTCCCGGAGTCCGGCGCCGAGCCCCGACGGACGGAGGGGGCTGCCCGGGAGCCCCAGCGGAGGGTCCCGAAGCCAGGCTTAGCCCCGCTGAAGCTCAGCGCGAAATCGCGTCGGAGGCGAGCACCGGAGCCTGGCTGAGCCCGGCAGAAGATCCCCGAGCCCGACTTAACCCGCGGCGCAGCCCTGTCGGAGAGTCCCCGAGCCCGGCTGAACCCGCAGCACAGCCCTGTCAGAAGGTCCCGCGGCACAACCCTGTCGGAGGGTCCCCAAGCCCGGCTTAACCCGCAGCACAGCCCTGTCGGAGGGTCCCCAAGCCCGGCTTAACCCGCAGCACAGCCCTGTCGGAGGGTCCCCAAGCCCGGCTTAACCCACAGCACAGCCCTGTCGGAGGGTCCCGGAGCGCGGCAGCGGAGCCCCGTCGCAGGGTCGCAGAGCCCGGCTGAATCCCGCAGCGGAGCCCGGCTGAATCCCACCATAAAGCCCCGGCGGAGGGTCCCGAATCCCACTGAGCCCCACCGGGAAGCACTGTCAGAAGGTCCCGGAGCCCGGCTGAGCCCGCAAGCGGAGCCGCGGCGGAGGGTCCCGGAGCCCGGCAGCAGATCCGCGTCCGAGCATCCCGGAGCCCCGGTAAACCGCGCAGCAAAGCCCCAGCGGAGGGTCCCGCAGCCCCGCTGAACCCGCAGCAAAGCCCCAGCGGAGGGTCCCGCAGCCCCGCTGAACCCGCAGCAAAGCCCCAGCGGAGGGTCCCGCAGCCCCGCTGAACCTGCAGCAAAGCCCCGGCGGAAAGTCCCGCAGCCCCCCGGGAGCGGGGCAGCCCCGGAGCGCGCTCGGAGGAGGCTCCCGGAGCCCCGTCGGCGAGCGGCGGTGCCCGGGGGCTCCCCCCCCGGTGCCCTCCATGGACTGAGATGGCCTCGGAGCTGGCCATGAGCGCGGAGCTGCCCACGAGCCCCCTGGCCATCGAGTACGTGAACGACTTCGACCTGATGAAGTTCGAGGTGAAGAAGGAGCCGGCGGAGGCGGAGCGGCTGTGCCACCGCCTGCCCGCCGGCTCCCTGTCGTCCACCCCGCTCAGCACGCCCTGCTCCTCCGTGCCTTCCTCGCCCAGCTTCTGCGCCCCCAGCCCCGGCGGGCAACCGGCCCCCGGCCCCCCGGCCGCCGCCGCCGCCGCTTCGCTGGGCTCCAAACAGCAGCTGGAGGAGCTGTACTGGATGTCGGGTTACCAGCACCACCTGAACCCCGAAGCGCTCAACCTGACGCCGGAGGACGCGGTGGAGGCGCTGATCGGCGCCCCGCACCACCACCACCATCACCACCAGGGCTACGAGCCCTTCCGGCCTCAGCCCTTCGCGGGCGAGGAGATGCCGCCGGCCGCCCACCACCACCCCGGCCACCACCACCACCACCACCACCACCTCCGCCTGGAGGATCGCTTCTCCGACGACCAGCTGGTGAGTATGTCGGTGCGGGAGCTCAACCGGCAGCTGCGGGGCTTCAGCAAGGAGGAGGTGATCCGCCTCAAGCAGAAGAGGAGGACCTTGAAGAACCGCGGCTACGCTCAGTCCTGCCGCTACAAGCGGGTCCAGCAGCGGCACATCCTGGAGAACGAGAAATGCCAACTGCAGAGCCAGGTGGAGCAGCTCAAGCAGGAGGTGACCCGCCTGGCCAAGGAGAGGGATCTGTACAAAGAGAAATACGAGAAGTTGGCCGGCCGGGGCTTCCCGAGGGAACCGTCCCCATCCTCCGCCGCCCCCCCCAAAGCCGCCGCTGACTTCTTCATGTGAGCCCGGTGGGCTGGTGGGATGCGGTGGGATGGGGGGTGGGATCGCTCCCCCTCCCCCCCCCTTTTTTTTTTTTGTTGTTGTTGTCGGTTTGTCGTCGCTGTTGTTCCTCATGCGGGGAGAGCAAAAAAAACCCCGCCGCTTGTCTTTTAAACAAAATTATTATTAATAATAATGATAATAATAATAATAATACGAGGACGTCCCCCCCTCCCGGGGAAATTTTGGGGAGGGGAAGTCGAACTCGCCCCCCCCCCCGCACCCACCCGCCCGTGGGGACTCGGGGTGGGGGGTCCCGGGGTGGGTGAGTGGGGGGCGGACCTGGAGCCAGCCTTGCATGCGGGACGTGTACGGCCACCCCCCCCCCCCTTTTCCCGGGATCATCAGCGCCTTCCAGGTGGATTCTCCTTCTCCTTCTCCCCCCCCCCCAATCCCACACACCTTCTCCTGCGTGTTTTACCCTCAATTTGATTTTTATTCTTCCAGGGGTCCCCACGGATCGGGCCGGGGGGGGATCCCCGGCAGCGCTGCGCCCTGTCCGGCCCCTCCGCGCCCCCCCCTTTCCCTCCCTAATTCCCGGCCGGCGAAACTGAGCCACGTTTAACTTATTCACCCTTGTAAATATGTAGAATATTAGTTAGTTTTTTGCCTTTTTTTTTTTTTTTTGAGCCTATATTTTGCTTGGTGATTTACGAGAAAAAAAAAACTTAAAAAAAAAGACAAAAAAAAGACAAAAA